AAAATAATCATAATTTACATTATCCTTTTCATATATCCACCAATAGTCATCAACACCAAAGAGGAAGAAGCACAAGAAAGGAGCTTAGTTTAAACGAAATAAATAAATAGAAGACCAACTAGTAAAAGTAAACTCATTTGAGGAGAGTGATGAACTCGAAAAGTTTGAAATGCGAAGAGAAATAAAATAAAAGAGTATGACATTGATAAACATAAAGAAAGCGATCGATCATTCTATAGTTTGGAAGTATTATCATGCTTCGTTATTTTTATTTTTATTTTTCTTGTACTCTTGTTCGCAAATATTGATGAGTTCTTTATTGGATTGATTGACTCGCCAACTTAATATTCAGAGTTTGAAGCCTCAAAAAATAAGTTGTTTGGACACATTGATTTGATTTCGGTTGTTGGTCAAAGATTAGTGTGTGAACTGAAAATTAATAGATAATGACTTGAGAATGCCCATCTGAGATGAACAAATATCACTCAAAGGATATTATTTTTATCATGACCAGGCAAAAATGTCTTCGATCATAAGCAGAGACTTATAAAAATAACTGTGATTTATAAAAACATCCAACATGGTTTTGTAATGCTTAGAATGGTTGAAATAAGATGCTAAAAAAATTTATAATTGGGTGTTAATAATCAGCCAGTAAATAGCTATTTCGATTTTTTTTTTTACCTGGAGTATCTATTTTGATAGTTTCTAACCTGATATATTGATCAATCATACTGTAACTTAATTTTTCAAAAATTAAAGTTAGTGGAAGAAATAGAAAAAAAATGGATAGAAGAACCTGAATTTGAGTATCGATAATTTCTATGAATGAAATCTCGTTGGGTACAACCAAACTGTTTATCTTACCAAGTAATGCTTATCTCCAATTAAGAGAAACCAAACTATAGTTTGAAAAATAGTTTCTGGAAAATAGATTTTTGGGAGAATAAATTTTGTGAAAAAATAATTCTGATAAAGTGAGATTGTTTGGATAGTTGTTATTAGAAGCACTTTTTATATGTGTAAAGTACTAAAAATGGTATAAATTAATATGATAATGATATAAAAGATAGATTTTATAATATATTTAAATTCAAAATAATAAAATTGTTAATAATATATTTTTTACTAACATAATTAATCATATATAAGATAATATAATTAATAAATAATTAATAATTGTATATATATTTATAAATTATAGGATTAAATATGTTTATAGAAAAATAATTAAAGGGTGTTAAAGTCATGTTACCGTTAGGATCTACTCTGGCTGACACACTCATACTCTCTAATTTGAACCAAAAGTATAATAGATTTATTTTTTCTAAAATCATGATTTTGAGTTTAAAACCATAATTTGCTGATTTCTCTCCTATTTGGCAAATTTTGGTTTGGATGTCAAAATCATGGTTTTGGCCAAATTGTTGGAAAACCTTTTCAATTTTTTGTGGTCCAAAAGTTAGGGTCATCGAATTGGATCCTAAGGTCGCTTACGCTTAAAATAATAAATGACCACAAGACAACTTTTTTTGTTTTTTTGTTTACCAGGACCACAAGACACTCGTAAGATGGATGCCGCGATTTTCATATGATTTAAATTATTATTTTGAACAATCATAATTTTGAAGTGTGGGTATGATTTTCATAAGATCACATTTTATACAATAAATTTAATTTATTAATTATCATCTTTCACCCATGTATTATTACTTTTTACGCATACATGTCGTCATTCCATACGGCATGCGATCTGATGGTTCAATTTATTAATCCATGACACTCGAAGTTCTTTTCAATTCATCCCGCAGCACTATTTCCCTTCTTTTTTTTTTTTTTTTGCCAACCAGTTCAATTTCAATTTTTAATGTTTAGTTCTAGACAAGGTATATTTATTTTACTATTTTTATTTAATTAAGTATTTGGGACTTTAGAACCGTTCATTGCGTACAAAAAAGAAATTAAGGGGGCCCAAATATAAGTCAGTTAAAAGCAGCTTGTAGTATTTCCCTGGAAAATATCGTTGCTGAATTGCAAGATGTTGATTTCACCTGAAAAAAATAATAAGTAATGAGAATTGAGAAAGAACTACGTATATATTTTAAAAAAATGTTTGATCACAAAATAAAGGATAAGGGAAATTATAAATTTTAAAAAAATGTTTCAGGATGAAATATTATCCATATCACAGCTTTGGAAAATGGGATAATAATATGAAAACTCAACCCAATCAACCGGTCAAATCCATCAATTAGTAAATTATTATCATCCCTTCATTATCATAATCAATTCGGTCCGAAGTACAGTTTTGGGCAGGAGAAATGAGTCAAATTTTATATTTTTCTCCTCATAATGAAATCATTGCAGGTTTTTTTTTTTTTTGGGGCGGGGGGAGGATAGGAGCGGGTCATATATGTGTTTTAGTATATTTATTTTGTTAGAATATGTTTGATTTATAAATAACTATTCTATTTATTTATGAATTAGCAATTTTTATCTAAATATCTTTTTTAAAGGTTAGATATTAATTTTTCTGTATATTTTAATTCGATTATATTATTTTAATCATAGTCGAATTGACCTCTATTCAACTGAACTACTTATTCTTGAATTAATATGTCAACAGGTTCCCCGGTCAAACTGTCTTGCATGGAGTAAGAATATAGAGATATTGAAGCCACTATGCACAATTGATGAAAAGGTATTATCTTTGCATCAATGTAACCAAATTATTCAAACCATATTGGCAACAGAGAAGAAAGTGTACTGTATCTGTATGTACAACAGACGATTGCTATGAACAGCTTCAAACCCATACGCCACATGAAACAAATAAAATCTCCCACAAAGCCAGGACACTCTTTTTCAGTCTAGAAAGCAACACTCTCACCCTCTACATACAGCAATCTCATGCAAATCCAAGTCCATTCTTCAACCAACCACCAGGAAGCAATACTTTCTGACCTTAGTTAATGTACATAATCTTCTTCCACGTAGGTTTTATGGAAAGCATAGCCCCTTAAGCTGTTCATCATAAGATGCATATTTACGTTTTTAGTTTGATTTAAGGGAAAATAGCCACACAAAAAAACACTGAAATAGAAAAATTGCATACAGAGACCCATTCATAAAAATCGTTGTCAAAACCCATACTAATGTTATCATGGGTCTCTATTTACAATTTTTCTATTTTGATGGTCTTTTTTTAAGACTTTTCCTTGATTTAATAAATTAAACCAAGCAAACTTTAAAGGTAAGAATATTAAGTTCTAGTTCTCTGTAAAAGTACCCTTTCCCTTACACAATCACCCGGTGAACACCCTGAGACGACTTGTGATCCGCTCTCGGCAAATGGGACAGTTGGTTAACCTGGATCCACAATCTCTGCAAGTCTGCATTTCAAAAGATTGGTAAAACACAAAGAACAAACAGAAAAGACAAGAACGGAGACCGTGAATTGAATTCAATGAAGCTCACCATGTGCCCACATCCAAAGGCCAAGTCCTTAGCATTTGTCAGGCAAATAGGGCAGGCCTATAAATATCAGAATTATCAGAGGACAACCTCAAACTTGTCAGCAAAGCAAGCAGTGATGTGTAGCAATTACTTGCTCATGTCTAACTTCTGACTTATTTTTATTGCAGTAAATTTAATTTCCAAAACAAGGGACAATTAAGGCAATTATACAACAGCACTCTTGATTTTAGTCTCATATACCTGCTGCTGATTTCGCTCATCGTCTGAGGGAACACTGCTTGGTAGACGAGCCGGTGGTGCAGGTCGAGAATAAGGAACTGGAGGAGGTCGCGGAACTATTTTCTTAGCCCTACCTGTCGTACGGCTATTGTCCGTTCAAAAGAAGAAAAAAGTCAATCATCGAATGGCAAACTCAATCAAACAGTCATGACAAAGAAAACAAGATTGCTTCAGGGAAAGCTGTCGACAGAATAGAGTGAAAGCATATTAGATTTCCTTTTTGCTTTTCATCAAGTAAAATTAAGTAGTGTATGCGAATCTTTACCCAAGTCTTTTAAGTTCAATAGCTGCTTTATACTGGAATGGAATCTCCATCAGAGCAGCCAGAGCAAAAGCTGCTTCTTTCTGAGAAGGGCTTGAATTTTTAGACATTATCTCAGTGAAATTAACGAACTGCACAGAGGAAGAAATATGCTTTATACTGAAATATGCTATGTAAGCAAGTGATGAAGATGGCAATAATGCAAGTAGGCAAGGTAATGCCATCCAGAATTTCTGATAATCGTTGTGCTGTACCTGAAAATTGTCAAAATCGCGTGCAGGTATCTTGTCATCAAACTTTCTCATGTCTTCCCAAGGCCCATCACCAACTCCAACAAGAACAATCGAAAGTGGATATGAACTGGCAGTAGAAAATAGAAATGATCGGGTAGAAAATAGAAATCAGTATTCATAAGATTTTTATTTGCAACTTAAATTTTTAAGCTAAAGTGATTTTTGACGCTCCTCATCAGTCATCACTTTACCTTGCTTCAACAATGGCTTGGATGGTCTTCTGTTCCTGAGGACTCAGTTCTCCGTCATCATAATTTACGCTTCTTGTAACCTTCATATCAAAGAAAAATGCGTAACTAAAATTTGCAACACATATGCGGCCGACTCAGATATATAGAGGTAGCCTGAGTAAACCTGTCCATCTGCAATTATAACCAACACATGGAATTGGCCCCCATTTTTCTCAACTATGTCTATTGCAGCCTCAATCACCGGACCGTAAGAAGTTGGCCCTTCAAAACCAAAATTGCAAACAAATATCCTTAAGCCATCATTTTTAAGCAAAAGATTAAAGGGTCACATCATATTTGAACAAGCTGATGACTATAAAATCCAAATATGATAGATTGATAAGGACCTGAAAGTTTCAAGTTCGGAACTATTTTTTGGTAGCACTCCAGAACTTCCTCAAAACCATGGCAGGATGAATGATCACTGTGAAAGCTAAATACTTCTTGATCATGGGTGGTAGCTGTAAAATGAGGATAGTTAAGTGAAAGGAACTTCCTTTTATACGTGGACTGCCTTAAGGATTGGGACTTACCATCACCAAAGCCAAAACATGGAATTAAATTGTCATCATCGAAGGGCGCCAAGGTCTTGCCGATAATAGAGATGGCCTTCTCGTAGGGGTTGGGTGTTGATCCAATAGCATGCAGGCTTCTATTATTAAATGATACTTTGCCTTTAATAAAAACACGGATACATTGGCTTCTAAGGCGAGCGATGAAAGAGAAATCATTTTAAAGGTACAACATAATTTAAACCCATGTTTCCTTTATCAAACCAGAAACCATATTTATGCCAGTTAAAGTTCACAATCATGGCCACGGAATCATCAGGATACATAGGTCTTATTTGGTACGAAGCATTGAAAATTAGAAACAGGGATTGTTATTGAGATTGATAAAATCTATTAAAAGAGTGTTTAACATAAGAGAATGCATGTTATATGAGATTAGGTAAATCAATATATATGGGATTGGAAAATATCATAGGGAGAGATGTTATTTCCCAATCTCATTTTTATGAGTTTGTCTAATCCCATATAACAAGTAATTACTCATGCTAACTATCTTTTTAATAATTTTTCTCAATTGCAATTCCATTCCCCATCTCTCGTTTTCAATTTTCAATACTTCGTACTAAAAAGCATAATAGTGTGTGTTTCGTGTATTATCACTTACCAGTCCACTCGTTGCTCTTCGTGAAATCAATTCCAAGGATGAGATTTGATGATTCCAAACCTTCTTTCCTCAAGGCTGCGGTCACCTGTTTAGAAGAGAAAGACGCTGAAATTTTCACGTTTGTTGTGCAATGCACGTATGCCGAACAGTTTAGAATTTGCAGATATAGACATAAACTACTCTAATTTACTTGCTCAAATGAAGGAGTTATATTAAGATCATACGTGACATAGTTCAAAAAATTCGTTTTACTGACATGAAGAAATTCTTGAAATGACCCTGCATGGATGACAGCTTTGGGGACAAGCGTATGTATATCGACTAGGGGTAGGGACTAAAACAATAATTAGAATAATACCGCACAAAAATAATAAATAACATTCTGGAAAACTCCCGTCAACAATTTTTATAGTTGGCAGTAGAGAGCCAAAATATACTATTTTTTTACGCTTTTTAGAAATGGGATGGGATGGATCCAGTTGAATATTTTTTTTTAGTTATACTGTTTTGTTACACAAAAATATAGTTATACTAATTAACTATTCAACTTAATCAAACCCATCCCATTTCTTTCATGTTCTTACATAAATAAGCTGTGAAGACTACTTCCGATTAAATTAATAAATTATTACAAAATTCATGTGAGATATACATGCCTTCAATACATTATTACCATCTAAAAATTCCATATCCGCTTTAAAACCCTAATAAGATTATCCAAAAGTAGCCTAGTCAAGAACAAGCAACCGCGCCAATCCCATTAGATTTTTAAAAAAATAAATAAATAAATAAATCATTGTTTTAACTTAAAACTAATTGAGAAACTATAGAAACAAATTGCGCAATGCGCATAGACTACTTATTGTTTGGAATTAGAAGTGTACATACTATCTCTTATCTTTAATATAAGAATTTGTTCAATTTTTATTTTGACTCTAAATATAAAACCCTGGTTCACTTTACCTTTTATATATATATTTTTTTTTACTAAGATAATATTTGTCATAATGGTAATTATAACCAATATATTTAATTAGAAAAAATATTTTAATAAAAATAACACCTATTTATTACAAATAACTAACTTAACTAATTTTTTTAATCTACTCAAATCAGTCAACTAACTCTTATATTAAAGATAAATATGAATTTTTTTATATTAAAAAAACTATATGGACAATCGGATAATGAAATAACTTAGTTTATCTGGGTCGTATCAAATTAAATCAAATGTTTGCTGAACTTCATCCAAATATTCACTTTGATTATTAAAATATTTACTAAGCAATCAGGAAATAAATGCCCAACAGAATTTGACGAGAGTTTCCTAAACTGAACAGAAATCTAGCCGTTAAGGTCGAGATTAGCATTTAGCGCGCAAGTAACAAGGTTTATCATTTATGAGAAGGAAACCAGAACGGCCTAATCAATCCTTCCTTTCTACTTCGCTTTCGCTCCTTATTACCCAGGATCACTCCCGCCACCGCCATCTTCGCGGCAAAACTAGACCATTGCCACCGCCATCTCCGCGGCAAAACTAGACCATTGCGTTATTTCCCGACATCAGTGAATCGTTTTCCCGATTCCCCTCCACCGCCGGCCGCCGTAATGGGAGCCGGAAAGCGGAACACAGAGATCAAGAAAATTGAGAACAAATCAGCGAGGTACGTTTGCTTCTCCAAGCGCCGCGAGGGACTGTTCAAGAAGGCTCAGCAATACCACAAAATCTCAGGGTCCCTCATTGCGGTACTGGTCTTTTCTCCTACTGGAAGATCCTACGTCCATGGCTCCCCTTCCTTCGACCCCATCATTGACCAATTCCTTCACAGCTCCACCGCGGCGTCAATGACGACTATGACAGCCGCCGGCACCAGCAGCACCGGCGGGAGCTGTATGACGGAGCCCTCTGTTTCCGACTCTGCCTCTACTACTAACAACGTGGGTTTGAGAGAACAGTTGGAGGCGATCAAATTGGAAGGGTGTGACAGTTTGGAGGAGCTGGTGGAGATGAAGAGGAAACTGGAAGAGGTTAGAGAGACGGTGCTATGCAGTTTCGCGGACTCGCTCATCTCTTGAGCATTCTACAGTTTTCAAAGAGGTCATTTTGATATAATGATTGTCTATTTTACTTGCCTCTAAATATCTCAGAGTGCCTTTCGGATACTTTTTTTTTAGTAGGATGTTATCGCTAACTGTGCCTTTCGGATACTTTAACCCATAGCTACTGATTTATCAACAGTTCCAATTACTTGGGTTCTTTCCCTCAGTGGAATAGAAAGCATGTGCCATATTTACTTGTGTTTTGTTTTCCTGGGCAGCCTAAATCACTCTGCTAAAGGCTTATGAGATTTTGACTTGTCAAGTGATAAATATTAGACCATGTCTAGTTTCTTTCCTGAATTAAAGCGGTGGGTAAACAAGCATTTCAAAGACCAAAAAATAAAAAAATAAAAATATAAGACCAAGTCGTTTCTATGGTAGCCTCTTTTTCCTTTTTGTTGACTTGCATAACATGAGGATCACGCCGTGACCTACCCATCACAACATTGTGGATCGCGCTGTGAGAACACAGGAGTATTATAATGGAATACAATGGGATGGCAAGATTTGATTTGGTCCTAATCACCACAATCCCTATCCCCCAAACTTCTCCCCCACGAAATGATGTAATGACAAATGCGATTTGGCCTAAACTTAAATTTTGCCTCTGTACCAAAAGAAATTGCCTAAGCCTTTGTCCCCCCCCCCCCAAAATGAATAAACGATTCTTAAATAAATAAAAAAAAGCAAGTATGGATTTACACTGTTCACCCATTTACCAGTTTCTAGCAAAAGCGTAAAACCCACTTAAATATTTAGAAAACTCAACCTCCTAAAAGAAATTTTCACCCTATCTTTTTTTTCCCCAACTTTTTACCATATCACAATTTTTTATGCTATGATATTGTGAGATTAATTAATGATACTAACTTCACTAAATAATATAGATATTTTAGAAAAGACAACATTTATTTATTATAAATAATTAAATTAATTATTTTTTTAATATTCATAAAATTAGTTATCTAGCTTTTTATGTTAAGAATCAAATAGTATTTTATACTCCACGCCTCATTACAACAGTAACATTGTTCTTTACAAAACCATGTTGTCTAATGATCTTTATTTCTTAAATATTCCTCTTTCCCACGTAGTATGATATCTTTCACGTAAGAAATTTAGAAAACATATTCAGTCTTTAACTTTTAAGAAATATACGTCCAGCCTCCAAATCTTAAACGTTTTAAACTCTTATCCATAATAGTTATGTCTTTTGAATAAAAAACTAGGTAATCCAAGACGTGTATCTTTTGAGAATTGAAATCCAACGGCGCCTTGCATCCCGTATCAGTCCCAAACAGGTTATCCTATGGACTTTTAGATCAAAACAAAGCAAGGTCCCCACCAATAATATAAAGACTTATTATTATATCCACTAAACATGATCAATCAAGCATCGCGGGAAAAAAATATATCATCAATCATTTTTTTATCAATGATAGCTATCATAAATAGGCCCCTAAAACACGTCAATTTCCCACTTGCCTAATATCTTACGGGAGAAAATTTAAAAAAAAAAAAAAATCCGTTGAAAGATTTATTAATGAGAACAATCTGACCATTTTAAAAAAAAAACTGATATTTTATAAAATCCGAACATATGATGTGTTAATATTCTGATTTAAGTCATTTTTACCAATAAAAAAAATTAATGGGAGCTTTTTCCCAATTTTCCCTCTTTTTATCTTGCTTCTAGTTTTCAATTAATCCTTCCAGTCTTTTTTCCCCTGATAAATTGACTACTTCTACATCAGAAAAACGTTTAATGGGACTTCCATAATCACATGAAGTCAAGAACATGATGCTAGTACTTCTTTTTTTTAAACTCAAATTATTTTGGATTTAAAACTAGTCTTAAATATAAAATTTCATGGAATTCATTTATGGATCTCATCTGGCAACCCAACAACCAATTTTATAGTGTGTATGAAAGGAATTTTGCTTCTCCGTCCTTAAACTCAATATGAAGTCTGGCTGGTAAAAAAAAAAACTCAATATGGAGTCTTCTCCTCTTTTTCTGGTTTCTTTTTTTTTTTTTTTTGCTTTTTTTTGTGGGGGGTGGGGGAATCAAATTTGAATTTTGAATTTTGAATTTTGCAATCACGTTAAAAGTAGAGCCCTCACCACGGGACACACACCCACTTGACTTTTTAAGTCTTCGTTTTACCAATATCTAAGCAAGTGGCAGACACCCCCTTTCAAGAAACACGTTTCAACTCAGCTCACGGGTCAGAAATCACAATGCATTAACGAAGGGACCTGCCTACTAGCTGCTCCGAGTCCAATCGAATAGTGTTAAAGCTCCAAGTTTAATGATCTAGTAATGTAATCTTAATTATTGAATTTATTGTTTGAAAAAAACTTATTTACCTTTAGCCCCGTAATTTTAAAGCCCAGTGATAATTTCATAGTGCTCAGAAGTTTTACCAAATATTGAGAAACTCTGTTTTGAAAATAAACTATACTCAGGTAAAATAAGGAAATAAACTAACTATTGAAATAACGTGAGTATGGACCAAAAAAAAAAAAGAAATAACGTTAGTAAAACATTTTTAAAAAAAACTACTCACATTCCAGAAAATAAAACTTACTTCTACATTTTTTATAAGTGAAAAAACCAAAATATTTCCAATGCTAGATTCTTCTTTTTCTCTAATCGATTATTTAACATATACTCACCGCTTCCTACGATTTTCACTTGACACTTTCCAATGGATAATTTAGCGAAAGGAACCACCAAAAAAAAAAGGCACCAAAGACAAATGACAATCAGACAAAATGAAATTTTTAGAGAAATTGAATCAAAGTTCAAACCTGCTCAAGGGTAGTGAAGTTATCGGGAATCAAAGCATATTTCTTCTTCACCGATTCCTTTCCTGCCACGACGGAGCTTTCTCCGGACGATCGGTTCTTGTTACTCCATATCCTCTGCATCATCTCCGGCGGCTGGGGCTGTGGTCGTCGAGGTTGAGGCACCGTTCGGTTACTTAGGTTAGATGACCTGCTACTTCCGCGCTCCTCTTTAACATTTCTGGAAAATTGAGCGTTACGCTTTTTAACAAAGGCGTTGCCCATCGTATCTTCAACAATAACAATTTCTCACAAAATTTGAATAAATAGCTCGTTTTTGAGTCTGATTAATTCAGAAACACCGAGATTACTCAGTTATGCACAAGAAGGCAGGGGAAGCGAAATACCTAGGAAGTTACCGCGAGCGAATCTGGGTAGTCAGATAGATTGGAGAATCGAATTCTTCTTGTTTCTTCTTTTGATTCGTGTGTTTTCTTTAACATTGGCTTAATCAGTAGGCAGAGAACCAGATTCCAAAAGCCTCGATGAGGCGTTCAGGATAAGAAAGACACAGCTTTGTGGCGTGTCGAGTGGAAGGGAAGACGGGGAAGTAGTTGAAAATAACACTGACGGACAGATGGTGGCATATTGCGTCATTTAAAGAGTACCTCAGCCTAGTTAATAGTACTTCTCCGATCCTTAATATAAGACCTATTTAACTAATTTGATTAAATTAAGAAAGTTAAATAAGTTAGTTAATTATAAGAAAAGTGACACATTTTTTCTAAAATATTATAATCATCTTTTTTAATACTCTCTCTCCCTCTTCTACTTGATTATGATTGAAGGAATATCCATAGAGGTAATTTAGAGAAAAATAATAAATATAAGAAATGAGTCTTATATTTAGGACTAAAATCAACTCAAGAATTGGGTCCTATATTAAGGACCGGAGGAGTATTAAATATAAGAGTTTATTTTATTTTTATTTTAATCTTCTCTTAATTTATTTTGTCTTTTATATTTATTTATCTTTTAAGATAATTTTTATAATAACAGTAGTTCTAACCAATATACTGCCTTAATTTCTTACTATAAAAAAATTAGTTAAGTTAGTTATTTGTAATAAATAGATATTATCTTTGCTAAAATACAAGGAACAAAAACCGGATTGGACACTAAACTAATTGAGATGGTGGTTCAAAGGCCAGTGGATCAGATCGAAGTCAACCCAGATCAAATTGATTGTATTAAAATAATATAATTTGATTGAAAATAACAAAATATAACAATACTAATAATCACTAATAACAAAATATAAGGAAATACAGTAATAATTTGATTGTAATAATAATAAAGTACAACAATATTGAAAATTTTGATCTTTATGATTCTTTAAGAACTAAAAGTAATAGTTATTGATATCAAAATTACCATTAAAATTCATTTAAATATATAATAAATGAGATACTAGAAGCTAAATGAGAAAAAAATATGACAAATAGCAATATAATTATTCAAACTCGTTCATTACTAGTTCACACCGCTTCATACCGGTTTGGTCGGTTCAATCTGGTTCCAATCGTTCTCCAATTTAATCCATGAACCAGACCAGACCAATGACTGGTTCACCGGTTTTCTGGTTGAACCGGTTGGTCCGATTCGCTTTTTTTACTCTGTTAAAATATCATTACTAATCAAATATACTAGCTAAAGCTATTATTAGTACAAGAACTATCTTGAAAAATGAATAAATATGAGAAATAAAGTAAATTAGGATTTTATATCTATGATCAAAATAAAAATCAAATAAGCCTTATATTAAGGACCGAAAGTAGTCCTTGGTCAGTAAAGATATTTTAAAAGAAATAATACACATTTATTACAAATAAATAATTTAACTAATTTTTTAATTTATTTAAGTTACCCAACTAGTTTTTATATTAAGAAGGGAAGACAATAGAATGCAAACACAGATTTTTTTCTTGTATTGAAAAACATATCTTTTTCTCCCTTTTTTTTGTCGTATTCAAGCTTTGCTTCCGAGTGTTTTTTTAATACTACTATTTTTGTATTTTATAGAATAAAACTCATCTAATTTGCTTAAAAGAAGTTAATTCTGACTAATTTATAATTTGGTTCAATTAGTGCTACTACTTTTTGATCAAAATCAATCCAGTCTTAAAATTATGAATACTTAGAGGTTTAATCCATGTGATTACTACTCTTATGGATAAGATTTTTTTTTTTAAGATAACATATTCTTACTTATAAAACATACCAATAAATTTTTTGAAACTTTTAATATAATTAGTACAGTTTTTAGTCCATCAAGTTTATTCTAATCTAATTTTAATTTTAGTTTTTTGAGTTGTAAATCATAGATTCTAATTCCCCAAGCTTTTTTTTGGTCTAAGACATTGATCCCTGTGGTTTAATAAAAACTTGAATTATTTTGTTCTACCAATATTCATATAAATTTAAAGGACCAAAAATTGTATTAATCTTTTTTATTTTATCATTTTACATTTTTGACCCCATTACTTACTACTTAGTCTCACTCCCTTAATTATTCTATTTGCTCTTTTTTTCCTCTCATTCACCCTCCTTCCCTCTATAAATAAGGGATTTTTTTCAAAAAATAAAATGCATTTGTACACAGTCATTTATTTTAATCAATTTAAATCAACTGTGTAATTTATATATTTACATCTTATAAAAGGGACTAAATGAATAATACTCTCTCTAGTTCTATAAATAAGCTTTGCTTTTAAAAAATAGTCTAGTTCAAAATATAAGTTTCACTTTTTAGTTTGTGTGAGCATTTATTACCTTTTTACCTATTTTGCTCTGGCTGTATTTAATACTCCATCTCTCTCATTAATATTATCCTCATACATTCTCTTTTGTCATTTTTTTATTTATTGTCTCTCTCATCTACTCTCTTAATAAATAAAAGCAAATTTTTTATTAAAAAAAAGAATACATTTCTGACTAATTTATTATTTTTAATTAATTTTAACTGTTAGTTTATTATACGTGATTCGGTTATTTGAAGTTTATATATAGGACTAAAAGGAGTATTGAACATTAATTAATGTCATTATGTCATAATATTTACTACTCTTTGTGGCCAACAACGATAGCATTTGCATTTGTCGGCACGAATAATCAATGCTCAACATCAATCAATTATAAAGTTCAAACAGGTAACTAATTATAGTTTTAAAGACTGGTTTAATATCAATTAAAATATAGCGGGTCAAATTGCAAATTGGATGAAAGTTTAAGAACCCAGACTCTGTTTTCTCTTTGCGATGATAATGAAAAAAACAAATGCCCCAAAAAAAAACCATCACATGCTTTGGGTGACATTTTTTTATATTATTCCTCTAATCCTATTTATAAGGGACTTTCAACATATTTTACACAGATCAAGAAACACGTTAAACTTCCTTAACTCTTTATTAAAATATAACAACTTTTCAATTTTATCCCTATTTAATATATATTTCTTTCAAAAAAAAATAACTATCTACGTTATTATAAATGAAAGACAATATGATATATTCATGGTAAAATTTAATGAAGTAACTTATAAATAGGACTAAAAATTTTTTTCTCTTTATCTTATAAATAGGACTAGAGGAGTATGTTTAATGGCATTAGAAGCAGAGCTAATCAAACTACAACCGGTTGAATCAATAAGATGAGAAAGAATATATAAAAATGGGACCTCACAGTAAAAATTCATTAAAACTTTATCCAAAACTAACCTTTAAATTGTGTCGTTTATTATTTCTTTTTTTTTCGCCATTCGTATCGTTGGATAATATCTCAACATCAAAAAACGAGTAATTGGGTGTAACCCTTTTTTTTTGGGTAAGAAGGTAAAATCAATTTAATTTGATCAAGGAAGCACTCCAAAAGTAACACTTTCATGCAAGTTGATATAGAACTTCACTCACATGTTTATTTTATATATCTTAAAATTATTTTTAAAATTATAGTTTAGTTTCCATCTAAACATCCTCTTAATGTTTAATTCAGTTCTTTTAAAAAAAAATATCTCCTAAATCTTGCAAACGTTTTAAGAATTAAAAAAAAAAAAGTAATGTGATACCTTCCTTATACTTTACCCATGGCATAGCTTACCATCCAAATTGTAAAAGCTAGCTGAGCTGCTATTCTTTTTATTACATGAGTCAACATCACACAACATGGGAAAGTTAACCTTAAACCCACGGGCACGCCAAACATTATGCCAAAAGGCAAGCTCATCTGGTTATTAGAAAGGATATGGATAGTTATAAGTTTTCTAGGGATTAGAGGTTTCTCTCTCTTGGAATCCGTGCCATCAACATTTACAGATTATGGAAGATCAGGCTAACCGGAAAGTGCCCCCAGACAGACCGTCCGACGCCCTGGTATGTGGAAGTAAGAAGAAGACAAAACAGACTGCACAACTCCAACCTATCCTGGACACCCACATGGACGAAACCCAGGCGACTAAGGAGGAGGAAATGATGAAAGAACCAGAAGTGCAGGAACAGATACAGAAAGATAAAATGGAGACACCTGGTCGCCAGCCACCCTCCTATCGGGACTCCCTGTTGGGATTCAATGGAGTTGCAAATGGAAGCTGTGGTATGGAGGAGGATGAGCTGTTATTGGATGTGCTTAATACAGAGTGGGAAATGCCGGAGGAAACAGAGGAAATCAATGCGTTGATGAAACAATTTCCAACAGTCCCAATAGAACCCGAGGAATATGCAGAATGGTGTAAGCCTTGGAACTCCGCTCTCATCATCACGGTGCTAGGAAGGAAATACAATGTCCACTTTCTTAAAAGATATCTCGGCCGCTTATGGAATGTAGTTGAGTTTGACCTGATAGACATACCCAACAACTACTTTGTAGTCAAATTACCTGAAAAAGAAGGATGGGCTGATGTCTATAAGAAGATATTGTATGAAGGTCCCTGGGTGGTTCAACAACAGAGTGTCCTAGTCCAAAGGTGGTCCCTGAACTTTGATCCCTTCAACAACCCACTCAGGAAAATAGCTACTTGGGTTAGGATCCCGAATATTCCACTCCATTGCTGCAACAAAAAATTCATCACCAGATTAGGAAACATAATAGGGAAGACTTTAAGGGTGGACTTGCGTACATGCACTGAAGCTACAGACAGAATTTCGAATGTGGAAAGGGGACGGTTTGCAAGAGTGTGCGTGGAAATAGACCTTCAAAAGAAGTTAGTTCCAAAGGTTATTGCAGCAAATCGTTTGTACCAGGTAGAATATGAAGGACTGAACCTGATTTGCTTTGAGTGTGGAAGGCATGGTCATAAGCGAGAAAACTGCTCCTGGACCTATGCAGAGGGAACGACTGGAGATGAGCGCTCTAAACACCATGGAGTCGGCCATGCACCACCGGCGGGTGCAACTGAAACAAGAGATAAACAAAGGAGCAACCAGGAGGAAAAGAAGGCGAGGAAGTCGCCGGCCACCGACGAGATGTTTGGTAGTTGGATGTTGGTGACTAGACCGACGAAAGCACGGACATCGAGGTATGTTACTGTGAGCGAGACAAGGGAGACTCAGGGGGGAGCCCC